TGCCTGTAGGTGCATTTTTAAAGGTTCGAAAACTCCAGCAATTTTAGATCCTGAGAAAACATCTTTATAAAGTAGTTTCCTGCATCTTTCAACAAGCCTGGGCTGCCCAACACCTCACTAATGGGCTAAATATTAAAATAAAATAAATAAAATAAACACGTTGTCATGGACAGAAATGGATTGGAAGGATGGAGAGAGACCTTCAGAATGCAATGAAGGTGTGGCGGTGAAGGATTGCTCCTATGACTTTCTCAAGCTGATTCAGTCTTAAACAATACACTAGCAGGAACACTTATAATCCTAAACCAAGTTTTCCTGGTGTGAAGCACCTCTAGGAGCTTCAGACAATGCTTCAGCACATGTGCTCAATGCACATGTAGACTCACACATGCCCTTCAGCAATGCATGGCCACACAGGATCTAAAGAAATGGCAAAGAGCTCCTTTACTTACTGGTCCTATGAGGGAAAGGGAGAAAGCTGTAAGAGAGATTATTTGGAATTAAAAGATTGTGTATTGTCTCCAAAAAAATAGGCCAAAGACAAGCTGATATAAATTGCTGTGGGCAGAAAAAGCAGTGGATGAAACTGGCTTGTGACCTCATCCAACTGGCAAAGGTGCTGGCTAACCTACATGGAGGCAGCTGGGTTATTTAATGACAATTCAGTCTTATGCAGAGCCCTGGAGTGCAAACCTAAACTCAACTTCCTCCAAAGGCCAGATGTGTTTAACTTCCGAGGTTGTGGGCTTGAGTCTGTTTTTTCAGGTTGTGGAAATGTCAAGATCAAACAGAACAGCTCCAGGATTTTCGTAGACAGAGGACACAGAAGCATCTCTGCACATTGAGTGTATTATCCTTAGGAGAATCTCTGCAAAAACAGAAGAGCTGACCTGCGAGCCTCACCTCAGGTACTACAAGCCCATGGACCTGGATGCAGCCCCCACACAGCTCTTTTAAAAGCTTCTATTTGGTGGGAGGCACTCCTCAGGTAAATATGGTCCTCTGACATGGGGCAGGTGGGCAATCCAACTCAGAGTCAAGCTCAGGCAATGCAAACATCAACCTCAGCTGGAGGAGAGGGAAAGCTTCCAGTAGGGAGTTTGGGGGAGTTTTCCCAGGCCATGAAGAGCACAACACACATATCAACAGGCAGGAATTCAGTTATATCTTCCTATCATTCTTCCATAACAAGATCTACAGCATTATTTTAATTTTGAGGGACTCAACTCTGCTCTACATAGCAGCTAAAGTTTAGCTCACGGCTAAACTCACTCCCAGAAGTGACTCTCTGGCTTCTGCCTCACACAGCCCTGTCAAAACCACTTCTAGTTTGTGTGTTTGTCTTCCAAAGAGACTGAATCCATCCCCAAATGGCAGTGCCTTCCTACCCATGCAGTGTCCCAAAACCATCATGTGTCATCGACATTTTTCAGGTTGTTGGAGTTTTCCAGTTAGGGTTTTGCTTGCTTTTAAGAGAGGTGCCTTAAACTGAGCTCTCAATGTCTTTACCACAGATGTTGCTTTTCCAGAGTGCCTTGACCCTGATCTTTAATTTGGTAATGACCCAAGCTCACTGCAGGACAGCAGGAGCTGCAGAGGGAGCAACTGCAGATGGATTCTCTGTCTGTCCTCACAGCTCTGCCTCAGCAGCATGGAAACACTGCTACTTCCCCACTCCCCATGCAATTCTCAATGGTGCAGCTGATAGAAGACATTTAAAGGGATGAAAGGAAATGAAAGAGCTCCATCTCACTGGAAGCCACCAGGAGCTGGGTATCAAACCTTCAGCTGTGCTTTTGGAAGACTTCCTCCAGGGCTTCAGTGCAGCAGTGAACAACCCATGTGCAACCTATGCACTGTTCTCCCCCACTGACTTCACAGCTTGAAGAAAGGCAATAAACCCAGGGACTTGAGCTCAGCCAGTTTTGCCTGACTCACCGATCTTTGTTGCTGTTCTGTGTTACTGCATCAGGACTTCTGCAATTTTTTAAATTTGTTTCTACCGTCAGCATCCCAGCACATAGATGGGAATGGAGTTCCACCCTGCCACCCTACAGGTCACCAACACCAGTGCTAGCAGAGCTCCCACATAAACCCTCACATCTGTATCCTCTAGAAACAGGCATTTTATAAACCATCAGTAAGAAAAAAGGGATTCCTCATATCTGACACCGTTCTTGTAGGTTTTGGTTACATTTTCTTTAGTATTTCCATATCTATTGTATTTGGCCATTTTTTTGCCCTGGGAACCTGCAAGAACATTTCGTACGACAGTGCAAAGCAGAAGGTGGGGACAGAAAGTTTGCTTCCTACCCTGAGACCTGCCCTTATGTTTCCATGTGATTTTTGGGGAGCTTCTCTGGCCAAATTACTCAACACTATGAATTGCTGTCTGGCTTATCCAGGTTATCACAGCCTCTGAGACTGGGACTGTCACTCCATGAGACACTGAAAATCTGCCTGTTTAATTACCTCAGTTTCCCTGTTGGTGAAGGGAGGATAAGATCTTCTTTCATGTCTCAACTCATTAATATTAGTAAATTGTTCTGAGATTATGGGATAGCTGGAACTATTTATAGGAACACAAAATGCCATTTCTACTAGGTGCAAGTTGCCATGCAATTAAAATATACCGAGCACCACAATATGTAGCAAATGGGACATCTTGTTTTACATCAGCAAAGAACTGCTAAGTGGCTCTCTGCTTCCTAGTTGCTTATTTTATACTTTTTGCCCTGAAAAACTCATTAAGGAAATGTACTGGGCCAGACTGTGATGTTTAGCAAGAGTCATAATCTCTCTCAGAGCTTCCAGCCCACAGGGAAAAGCATGTCCATGTGGGAAAATCAAGCTCCTCTCTCCACAGCTCTACAAAATGCAGAGCTTTACAGTTTGCTGTCAAGAGAGAGGGATGTGAACCACAGTTATGGCCCTTCTGCACCTCTTAAAGGAGATTTCTTTTCTGTGGGTATACACGAAAATCTCTGCTCTCAGCCCTTCCAGAGAAGGAGAACAGAAGATCTTTTAAATCTCAGCTCTCCTCAGCTGCCTTCTATGGAGTGACCAGGGAGAACTTTTATTGGCTCATTCTCCTACAAATGAATTTATGTAGATTCCTTCCAAAGGGCTGCATAGTCTCTTTCCTCATTTCTGTCTGGGAGAGCTTTGTAAGAGGCCATTTGGACAAGACCACCACAATAATTCATAACATTTGCAGACAATTTGTAAACCCTTACAGTGTCCCAGAATGATAAATTATTTTTTCTAAGACAATGAAACACTGTGTGAGTGTGTGTTTGTGAATATGCATGAAGACAGGCAGTTCCCCCAGGGGCAGGCATAAAGATCAGCACAGATTTCCTCTCCACCATGTAGGGTTTTTGTGATACTTCAGTTGTTTTGCCCCTCCAGATTTTAGGTTTCTAAGTGAACCCAAAGCAGAAGGCAGCAGTCTTATTTATCCAGGTATTTATATATCCAGGTCTCCTACAACAGACTGTGGAAGATGTAGATGTACTAAAGATATAATCCTACATAAATGATTTATTCTAATGATGATTGCTGGCCTTGGCTTCAGCCACCCAGGAGAAAAGCAATTAAAGTCACTCCTCATCCTAAATTACAAGGCCTCAACTTATTCTCTGTTAAGTTTTCAATATGATTAGCTTCATATCAACTTCCAAACCAAGCAGCACTTTGCTGGTAGTTTCTGGATGAACATACATCAACCCAAGTGAGTACAAAACAAGGAATCTACAAATCCTAGGATTTGGAACAATTTCCTAAAACCTATCTCAAAATATTCTCCATAAATACTCATCCAATATAAACTATTACCTTGCAAAAGCAAGGCTCATGGGAGCAAAAATCAGAACAATGCTGGAACAAATACACAGGATTTGCTTAAAACTCTAGGCCAAGCCTGCTTTTGTAGCAAGATACAAGAAATAAATCCATGTAGGCCATCATTAGCTATACCAAGTCTGGAATATCTAGTACTGAGTACCTATACCAGAACCTGTCCCCTTTTCACATTATTTAGGCTATTGCTAAAAATTATTTGCTCCTTGCTGTTACACATAGAGTTGGGTGGTGAAAATTACTTGCTTTCAGTTTAACAATTAGAAGGCCATATTGACATGTATTGTGGAGTATGAGGAAAAATAACACCAATCAAATAATTTTGATGCTTTTCATCACTACAGTGTTATTCTGGTAACAGTGGACAGTGACTGGGCATTCCTTGGGAGTGACTGACTCTCGGGGGACCGGCAGAGAAGAGACTATTGGTTATAACAAGTTTTAAATTCTTCTAGGTAAGACATTTCCCTCTCCTTGCCAGCTCCACGATCATCCCTTTTGCCATTATACTTCCATACCCAATGGTACCTCCTTGGAAAGGTTTTGTGAGTCTGATTTGCTTGGCTAAAAAACGTCAGCTGAAAGAAAAAATCTGGGGAACCTGCAAGTACAAACACACACACAGAAAATTTGAAAAAATTATCCTTTTCTTTGCTCGTAGAAACCAGTCTCCTCACAAGGTTTAGAAGTCCAAATCCCACATGAAGGGAAGATAAAATCATGACAAGCTAAAGAAATCCAAAATAAACATGAATATTAGCTTTGTTGTATAGTTCTGTAAAGCAAGCTGGGTGAAAATACTCTTTGGGTTGATTTGGTTATCAACATCTCTTGCCACACTGCCATGACCCTTTTGACTTTAATTTCACCACTATGTATCACTTTTGTTGTTGTCTCTCCAGCTTACCGCTAGCATCTGTTATTAGGATGTTCCAGTAGGAGCAGAGATTAGCCTGTGTGTTTATAACCCATGGTTCCACAGTGAAAAAACCCAAGATACATATCAATCCAGATAATAATAATCCTGTATAGTCTAAACAACCTTTGGGAGAGCTGTTCAAGAATAATATTGCAAGCTTTCGTGTCTTATAGGATGGGAAAAAGGCTGATTTGCTTTAAAACACACAATTTCATCCTACCTTGCTGGCCTTCAGTATCTCAAACATCAGAGGCAGCCCTTGTGTGATGAGCTCCTCAGTGTACTCCTCTTCCTGAATGGACTTGAACTCCTTGAGCAAGCACTGGATGAGGGGCCGTCGGTGCTGCTGGAAGGACGTGCGCAGAGACTCCAGCCACGTGTGCAGTGTCCAGGGAACACCTGCACACAGAGGACACAGCTCATCCCAGCTCCAGGCAACGACGCGCCCTTCTGCTTTTTTACCTTCGCTGATATTAAGACTTCAAGCGAAAGCTGCCAAATCATTCAAGAAATCAAATTTCTATTTATCCCTACTTGAGAAGGCTGATGGTTATCAGTACATCCCAGAGCTAATGCACAGAGGCTTTCCTCCAAATGCTAAGAGAGAAAACTGTGGTCTCTCTGCTCATCTAGCCTTCAGCTTCTCTGCTGAGACTACCAATTTGTGGTAATTGCTGTGGTGCTCTGCGTTGCAAAAGCCTTTTGGAAACTAGATTTACACTAGCTCATTTGTTTGAATGTGGCCCTGGAGAGCCATTAAAAGGTGAAAAAAACGGATTTTGGTCCCTACCTACCTGGATTCAAATTGGTGGTCTTCAGATTAAAACTTGCTTTAAGTGATACCCCATGTCCTCTCCTGATCATTAGCATTTTCCCTAAAGAGTACTGAGCGAGTTAAGCAGATCAGCCCTTTCAAGCAGCTTGTCATGGCAGAGCCACTCTCCAGGAAGTTAAAGGGAACTGCTCCCATGCACTGAGCGAGAAAGCACATGGAGCTGATGTACCTCTGCAGGCATGAGGCTGGATGTGACCTACTTTCTGCTCTTATAGAATGGAGTGGAAGGAAATATAAGGCTGGTGTTTGGCAAGTGAAAGTTTTTCCTTCTATGTCAGAAAATGTTCAATGCCTGCAGAGCACCCCTGCCACTCTCCTCTCATTCATTTTCAGATCTTTGCCTGCACAGTCCACTGCACGCTCTGACCCACATCCCATGGCCCCAGGACTGGAGCACCGCCCCAGGCAGAGGCACACCAGACACTTGGGTCTCTATTTCTCTGTGAACAGATGAATGGGGATGGTAAACACACAGTCCAGATCGATTTCCATCTGCGTCAAACAACCACCCTGCCCACAGGCAGAAGCAACTTCACCGGGGGCTGGTATTATGTTCAAGTCCCTCACTGGCAGAGCTGGCATACCAAGGAGTCGGCTCCCTGCTCCTGCCTTCAGAGTCTCAGAAAATAAAGTTGTTTTAATGGTGGACTGCTTTAAAGCAGAGTGCAAAAGAGAAGCAGCTGGAAATGGCCCATTACAGCTGAACACTGCCCCAGAGCCTTACCTACACTCTGCCATGCAGCAGTGCAGATGGCTCCTGGTGGAAACCACTGTGTCCTGCAGAAAAAAGCCACTGGCCCCTGAACAGGGTGTGCTGTGGAGCTGGAATGGGCCGGGAACCTGTCAGATCTCCCACCACCTTCCATTCCGAAAGAGTTGAGGAAGATGTGACCGTGGCTGGTTTAAGCAACAGCCTGTCAACAGGGACATGTTTCTCAGAGTGGTTTTTCCCCGTCCGAAGCAGAGGAAGGAGGCCAGCACTGACCTATGCTCCGGATGTCGATGGTGACGTCCACGTAGCCGTGCTCGGCGCTGTGGTACATGGCCTCCTTCAGGGCCTTCAGCTTGGCCTTGCTGTTGCGGCTGGCGCAGAGAGGAGCTGCTGCCGAGTCGGGCAAGTCTGTGCCCTCAGCCAGGATCTCCTCCAGGGACAGGATATCGCTCTTCTCCTTCTCCGGCTGAGCAAGCAGCTTGCGGAAAACATTCCTGTCAATCACAGCACGACACAGAGGGGGAGAGGGGGCAGGAGAGGAGAGGAAAGGGAGAGCAGTCAGTGGCCAGGCTTTCACTGCACTGGGCTTACTCGCTGTGTGGCAAATTAGGACACCTACCCAAGAAATTACTCCAGCTAATGGCAGAACCAGCTGAGAGCAGACCCAAGGCAAGCACAGCTCCCACTAGCCCACCTGCACTGCCTGGGACACATCTGCAAGTCACTGCTGTCGTGACACAAACCGCACAGATGTCGCATGAGGGGCGGCATCTTGTGGGAACAAAGACTCGTGAGCTAAACGTGACTCAAGACTTCTTCAGCAACCAGGGAAGGCCAAGGTGCCTCTGGATAAGCTCTTGGGACTCCCACCATGGCAGCCACCTGAGAAGGGAGCTGCCTGGAGCTACTGAAAGCACCACCACTCGATTCACACTCAAAGCAGTCTGGGAAAGCTAGAGCAGCTAGACATTCAACAAGGCCAGTCAGGGCAGGTTCAAGCACAGCTGGGACTACTCTACAAAGCCACTGATCCAGCTGGGCCATCAAATAACAAAACCCAAACTCAGAGACTTTGTGCCCTCAGGTTCACACCAGAATAACTCATCAACCTCAGCAGTTTCCCTTGGTTTTGCAGCTGTGAGAAGAGAAACCAGGCTGGCTCCCAGCCCACCCTCCTTGTATCCCAGTGTCCCCCCTGCTCCCACTTACACTGCAGCATGGCGTGTCCCAAACTAATTTAGGGCAGAGATGGAAGGAAGGAGATGTGTGTGAGTGTTATACAGGTAGGAACACAAGAGCTAGAGTCTGTGACATGGACAGCCAGCAGCCAAGCCATAGAGAGCCCCAGGTTCTCCTCACGCCTGTGGCTTCCATTCACACTGAGTGAATGTGAGACTTCAACACCCAAAGTGTCCCGTCTGTGCCAGGGATCCCTGCAGGCTCCAGATGGACAGAGCTGTTGAACCCACCCTGACGTGCCGTGAGCGTGTTGTTAGACTGGCAGCTCATCTCTAAGCAAACACACGGTAGGTACTGTCTCTAACCTGTATCTATGTTCCTCTGGATGGCTACAATCAGAAAAGTAGGAGTGTGAAGATCATGATACTAATTCATTACACTGCAGTCAACTCCTGAGCGTTGCAAGGTCATGCATGCTGGGTGCTCATCTCAGTAGTTCTTTTTTTTTTTTTATATTTGCAGCATACAAACAACATTAAGACACACAGGACTTTACAGCAAACATAGATGCAGAAAATCTATTCAACAAAATCAAGGCTGCAGCAGTACAGACACAATTCACTCAAACCTGAGAAAAATATCAAGAAATTCAGAAGGAATGCTTTTGACATTCCTGTCTGCTGTCACATCAGCTGCCATTTAACAACCACTGCATTGAACATACCACAAGAAGTCCCCTTCCTTTTTTTTTTTTTTTTTACATCAGAAATCAAAACGGAGCTTGTACCACCAACTGGTTTAATTCACATGCTAGCAGAAAGCCTTACGGCTCTGCTCAGTTGGTGGCATGTTCAATTGTTCATGCAGAAATTTCACCCATCTGCTCAAATTGGATGCCCAGGCAAAAAAGTAGCACTTGAAGGATGCCACTAGACTTGTTCCCACTCTACCTGTGTCCATGTGCAGCAGCCTGACTGAAAGAGTTCATGTCACCTTGTGGAGTCATGGAAATGCCATTCCTGTACATTGTTCCTATCATGGGGTCAGCTCCTCGCTCCAACAGCAAACTGACCAGTTCAAAATTTCCTGCAAGGCAAGAGATGCAATTTTACTCCTTTTGAAATCCAGTATTTGCTCACCTAAACCACAGATCCCAGCTGAGGAATTGTTACGATGGAAGGAGGAAGAAAGTCCTTACCAGCCGCTGCTGCCAGCTGTAAAGGAGTTTCAGAGTAATTTTCCTCTCCATGTTCTAAGGAACCTTCTACCTTTGCTCCAGCATCCAGCAATAGCTAGAAAAAAAATTCACCATTTAGAGCATTTGGGGGTATCACACTCTGAAGAGTTCATGAACAGTGACAAATGAGAATCTAATGCTTCTTGTTATCTGCAAACCCAATACAATGGAGACACGTGACATGCAAATTCTGCCCATTGTTTCACAGAGGCAAATTCATTCCTTTTTTCGCTCATTTTACGCTGCCAAACATCAGAAGCTCCAGCGTCCAACTTCAGAGCCAAAAAAGTGTAACCCAGCGTTTTTGATGGGAAATGGGATAAGGTCAGTGTTAGGAAGTAATGCACTGGAGATGGAAGAAAGTTAGCCCGACAAGCATCCTTCCTTCATGGTCTTCTAGAAGCCCAGCACCATCCAAAAATGGATCAGATTTCAATTGTCTCCATCTTTTATATGAAGACCAAAAGCAAGGCAACTCTTAAGAACCAATTACAGCAATGAGTCCAAAAGCTGTGGTCTCCATCGGGGACACTTCCACGTAAGTAGCAGCAGTGCTGAAAACAAAAGTGGCCAAGGAGAGCAGGATGGAGCCTGCGCTCCAGCTCCCTCTTGGCCATTTCTGTCTTAAGGCCTTCAAAGTTTTGGTGCTTGAGTGTGTCACAGACACAGCTGTTTTGAAGAATAAACCTTCCCAACTTTTGAGATGCCAAAGCACGGAACCAGCACATCCCACATGACACCTGGATGGGCTAAGGAGAGTCAGGGATTCTCCCCCTCTGGAGCAGCACGAGGGCTGTTGTCCACCTCTCTCCTACCAAGGCAGCACTTTTGAGTTTGCTAGAATATTACAGTGTAAGAAAGTGCAATGAATGAATAAACAAACACATAAAACAAGTGGTCAGGAAGGAGCACAAGGAGTTGTCAGACTTTCTTTGGTGCAACTCTGCTTTAAAATTGTCCTATTTAAGCCTCATATTGGTTAAGTTTTGACACCATATTCACTTTGCAAGTCTATCATGTATCAGTACACTCTTGAAGCAGAAGTAACCAATATGAGTATGACAAGAAGATGCTGGTTTGAGATGGATGTAATTAGAACTGAAGAGGAGAAAAAAGAAAGAATGAGATGCAGGTAGGGAAATACAATAATACCTGAACTACAGGAATATGTCCATGCAACACAGCAAATGTCAGAGCTGTCCAATGGCGGGTCTCAGGGTGGACGGATGGGTATTTATGAGCAGTACTGACAACCTATAAACAAATTAAAGTTATTTTTTTTAAGAGCTATATGTAACAAAATTCAACTTGCCTGAAAGCCAGGCATGTGAGGGAGTAAGTGAAATAGAAAACCTGGGAAAGGTGCTTTAAAAAATTATTGGCTTCATTTTTTTACTGCAAAATTTTTCTCGATATTAAAACTCTTTGTGCTGATTTGACAGCTTGATTTGAGTTCTTACCAAATGAAGTCTTTTACCAACTACTGTAGCTCCATCTAAACCACTGGCCACCAGATTCTTTTGCACAAGGGCAAAACATCCACAGCTGGTTCTAACAGCACACACTGGGGAAGTAAGGATGGATCAGAACATTTACAGCTAAAGACCACTCCCACTGACTTCACCAGGCCATGTACCAACAGCCCTGGGTCTTGGGATTGCTCCAGGCCCAGCCAAATTTCTTTGCACTTAAATAAGTACTTTTGTCACTGCTGTCATGAAAGACACATCACAAGCCCTACCCTGGAGTTTGCAGGCATTCTTCCAGGCTCTTCCTCTCTCACCAGAGGAAAAAAAAAAAGTCTGAAAAGTGATGGGGCAGAGTGTCACTTCAGAAATGTTTAAGAAAATCTCCTTTTACTGCCTTCTCCTGTCTGAGTTGAGCTAAAAGTGCTGGGTAGTGACAGTTAAAAGAGATGCAAACTATATCCTCAGAAAACAAAATGCTATTCTTCAGGTTGCTCCTTCTATTTTCTATGCCTTAGTGCCTGGTGCCTGTAATGTAGACATTGGGGAAGATGAACAACCATTCTTTGCTTCAGTTTCCCTGTCTTAAAGATGGGGGTATTAATATTGATGAGGTTCACAGAGCTGGTAGAATCTAATGAACATTTGCAATCCAAGGCTGTGCACTCAGATGGAGTGTGACACTAAAATTCAAAATCTTGTTATTGATCTTCAGAGGAGGACTAAAATCAGAGTAAAAGATGCACCATCTCTCTGTCTCACCAGCCAGCTCTGCTTTCACTACCTTGTCTGAAGCACTTTAATCCATACAGGGGAGCAGGGCCAGTCATTAAATATCCAGTTCCAGCAGCAGCTCACATTTCCAAGTGCCACATGCAGGGTTTTGCTAGATGCAGGCCCTCAGTCCCAAGGACAGGGATGAGGGCAAAATCTGAAGACCTGTGCATGCAGATCCCACAGCTTGCCAGATCTGCACCAGCACCTGGCTGTTACCACCCAGATTTGCCAAAGAGAGAGCTCAAAGGGCACCACAAGGAGTGTGCTGGCCTCTGAACAAGGACACAGGGCTCTTAGGGGCTGGGCTGGGTCACAAGGCATAGGATTGAGCAGCTCAAGCCTTGGGGTTTGGGATGTGGAGCAAGAGCAGCAGAGGGGAAGGATGGGCAGGACCATGGCTCAGTGAATGCACCCAGCTCCTCCTCAAGCATGGTTCCCACCACTGTTTGGGGCAGTCCATGGAAAGCAGCAAAGAAAATGAAGTCATTTAAACTCCTTTGCTCCTTTTTGTTTTGTTGGTTTTTCTTGGGTGTTTTTTTTTGGTTAGTTTTTTTTTTCCAAGTCAGAGTTCTCTCCAACACAGTGTTTGCAAAAGACCTGTGCCTGGACAAGCTTTTAAGGATGAGACTGGCTGAGCAGCTACAGGTCCCACTGAGTACAGAGCAAACTGCAGCTTCTCAGCACATCTGGAAATGAGTCCATTTTCACTAAGGGTGGGCAATCAAAAAGGGAGGTGCCCAGCATTTGAGGCTACTTTTGGAAACATATTTGCAAAGTGAAAGGGAGAAAATTATGCAGCACCTGACAGAGCATTTATTTTTGTTCATGGTTGATTTGCCTTTTTTTTGCCGTAATTGCCCAATTTGCACAGTTGGTTGTGGTGTGCACAAATCATCGTATAATTGCACGCCATAATTATTCACAGTTCTTGTCCAAAAGTGTTTTCATTTGATTTTAGAGCAAACACTCTACAGCAGTGCATTGGGGAGGTTCACATTCCTCACTGGAGTTATTCTCTCATATGTCAGCAGTTTCAGGAAAACTGTTTAAATTTGCATTTGATTCAAGCCTGGAAGATTACTGGAGCAATTGGGAGGACTGCTCCTAATGAAAATTCATCCTAGGAACCAAATAATGCCACTTCACATCTGAGCCACGAGGCAGGGTTAAGGAAGAGATCAACCTCCCTGCCCATCCAGTCTTTGGTCTGACTAGGGGTTCAATCATTCAGTTACTGCCAGCTCTGAGGGTCCTGTGCTTGGCTGTGGGGAACTGAAATCACCAGCTGATTTCACAACATGGTAGTAGCACTGTCAGTCTCCTATGGCGGACATCAGTTTCTGTTTTTTAAACTGGACTTTTTAAAAGTGCAAAACGTCTGTCTGAAGCAGTGACTCCAATTTATCAACTCGCTCAAGTCCAAACAGAACAGATGGAACACAGATAAGTGAAGCAGACAGCTTAATTTACTCATGACCTCAACAACTTGAAACTGGAATCATTAACAAATAACTCTTCACGGATTTTCAAATGACTCTTAAAAAATGTACATACCTGCATTGCACGGGGTTGGACAACAATCTGTTTGGTGGACAGATTGTCTGAGTTTGTGATATGCATTCATCAATGAGACATTTATATTCTGGAAGCTTCAAGCTCCTCATCCAACAGTTTTTAGCCCAAGGCACTTTGTAAAACAAAACAATGGAACCTATATGGCTCTTGTGTGCTGGGATGCTTACTTGGAACATCCATATGCATAGAAATGCTGAGTTTTGGCAAGTTACCAGATGGGTGTTTCTTTCACCTTCTTCATTTAAAGTCAGCTGAGATTCAGTGACTCCTTGTAATAGCATTAGAGCTGGGCTCAGGGCTAGTGCCAATTAATGCCTGTATTCATCTGCAGTGTGCAAACACAACTAAATCACTGTTACCTGTGGGTTAACTCCAGTGACTGGACCCCTTCTGTGCAGTGAATCCCAGTGTTAACCTAATGCCATCTGATTTCACTGATCATTTCAAGTGGTCCCAATCCCAGATAAAACAGATTTGTTTTCTTTTTCATGCTTGAGATTTTCGCTCCGCTACAGGGAGGTATTTCCAGGGAGTAATTTAAGATGTAAACAAACAACAGAAAAAAGATACAACCAACAAAAAGTCCTCACCTCAGCATTCAGATCTGCTCCAGCATCTAGCAGCATCTGCACCATAGCCTCATCACCCCTGACACAAGCATACATCAGTGGAGTCATGCCCTAGTCATTTTTTGGAGTTAAAAAACAAAGGAATTGACAAATTTAACACAGAACTCTCTTGGATTTTTAAAAACAATTATTTAAGTATATATCATCAAGACTAACAGCATGTATTTAATGAAAGCCATTACCTCTGCTACAAACATGCCCCTCAGACTAGCAAAAGTCAAACATTTTGGTAAAAATCTCCATTTTTGTTGTCACTTGTGCTTACTGCTTGTATTTTTCATGTTGTCTTCAGCATGGTGAGTGAAACTAGGCCAGTCTCACCTCCATCGTATACTAAACTGAGCACTTTTGTCTTTGGAGCCCCCAAAGAGACGTGTTTTCACCAAAGCAACCATTATTTCCACTGGTATTTTAGAAAGACAAGAATTCTATTCAGTTTTCTATGATCAGAGTGTCTTAAAACCTAACTTTTCAATTACTAAAAGAGCCTTTAAAACATCTCAAGCTCCTTTTAAGATCAGTCAGATTTGAGCACAGCTTTTTCAACATGGATACTGTAAGGGGCTGGAAATGTCAAGGCTTTGTATAGCACTCCCTAGCAAACATGGACTTAATTTCAAATGAAATGCCAGACAGCTTTGTTGCACATTACTGGCTCTAGGAAAACACAGCCCTGCTTGGAGAAAAAGTGGATTAAGTAACCCTTCACTACAGAATCACCACAATGCAATTTGTATTAATCTGAAATACCTGCTATGCCTGATCACCATTTCCCTTTAGGGAAGTACTGCTGTGGCTGTGGTAATGAGTCCAGATGAAACCATGAACAAAATTATTAAACCTACTGCAAATTATAACAGCAAAAGCTGCTTATTAAGTACACTAGGGTGGGTTGACCAACAGCCACCAGTTGCTTTGCAGTAAATCTCCTGAAGCATGCAGCTACCTCTGATGCATGTTTACAGCCTGCCTCGAGGTCCCCCAGTAAATCTGCTGTCAGACCACAGTCCATTTGCTCTTTAACCCAAGTGCTGCTATGAAGGGAAGTTATTTTCAGGGAAACTGGAGGTACCTGTCCTGGCCAGACACTGAGCTGTGACACTGCTCTTCCTAGCAAGAGCCCAGCACCACTGTTTTTGCTGAACTACCCCAGTATTCTTGTTTGTATGAAGGGAAGGCTGCTCCTGTAGAGACAATATAAAATAATGTTTATGCCTGCAAGGTCCTTAGGTCCTCCCTGAAAGACATGGAGCATTTCACAGGATCCAATCTGCAGTGTACTCATGGAATAAGCACTTGGGTCCTCATGCCATTATTGAGAAAAAATAAGTTCACCCTAGGCAAGGAGAGTTCTTGGGTGACTTGAAGGTATTTGCAAAGAGAATTTGAAAGGACTTCAGCCACAGCCAGTGGCAAAAGATTTCCTTTGGCAGTCAGTAAACACTACGGGAACAAACAGGACCACACAAATTACAAAAAAATTGTGCTTGGGCCTTGGAATATGAGGATGGGGTAGCAGCTTAAAATTAAATACATGTTCCTTCAACTGGTTTTTCAGTTTCTGTAAGTGGCATCACTAGATAATTAATTCAAGTGTTCATTGAGCACAAGGGGTCTAATCAGATCTGTAGAAAAGAATCTGAAAACCAATCTGAGCCCCAGTGCTGGGGCTCCCCCTGCAAGACACAGCACGTGGGCAGCCACAGTGAGGAGTCCTGCGGCAACATCCAGAGCAAAAGCTCAGCCTGGGAACCATGCAAGAGGTCCTGACCCTGCTGCAGCTGAACAAGGACTTGACACTGACTAAAAGGGGCCCAGAATGTTATGCTGCAGTGTCAGGGTTTTAAAGAGTTAATGAGGATTTTAACCTCCCCTTCACTCGCACTCCTGTCCCAGTTGCTTTTGCCTCTGCCAGTCCCCCCAGGCTTGCCCTGCAGCTCAGCCTTGTGCTGCAGCACCACTCACCCCTCTCTGCACGTGGGAGGAATGGATTTTTAATGAGCCCATCATTAGTGTTCGAAGCACACACAGGAACACAGTAACAATGTGTACAGTCAACATAAGGGGCATTTGGCTTTTGGCAAAATGTGAAATTACTGTCTTTCTTTCAGCTTTGTATGACCTAGGGCTCTGTCCTGCAAGATGTGGGATCCTGCAAGATGTGGGACATTTGATCCAGCGAGACATTTAAGCACAGGCTTAACTTTCACTCAAATAGGATGTAAAAGCATGTGTTCAGAGTTAAGCATACGATTAGGTACTTTGATGAATCAAGCCAGAGTGTTCCCAGTTTTCAGCCTGGAGGACAGAGGAAATATGCTGTGAAAAGTTTCCAGGTTCAGACTAACTTAAAATAACAATAATTTTAAAGTGTATGAACCTTGGAATGAGCAGTTCAATACTGTATTTTTTTCAGGAAGTATTGCCCTCTTCTAAAGCTTTTCTCAGATGAATCCACAATACTAACTCAGACTGAAGCCACTGAACAGCAATGTAATTCACATTCCTGGAACAGCTTTCATCTCAGAAGACCTAAACCCATGAACACTCCAGCTCTTGTCCCTCGTGACCACCTGAGAGGTGGCAGCCACCTGGCTCCTGTCAAAAATGATGGCACAGCTCTGGGAACACGCAGCAATAAACTTTCATCAGGGGCACCAGAAAGGTCAGGGGACTCTATTTCAAAAGGAAAGGTTAGTATTCATAGCCATCATCTCCCTCTGGGAAGGGGGAACCACCTTGGTGAGCACTATGGTCCTGCAGACAGCTGCCAGTAGGCAGCTGCAGAGGGCAGCTTTAAACCCAGGCACAGCCACCAGCCTCACAGAGGGGTAACTCCAAGGAAATTCAGGCTCTTCAACTGGTGGATGTTGGCCACGATAACCAGTGGAGGGGTAACTGCAGAGACACTTTCACATCTGTGAGGTTCAAACTGGACTGAAATCCATTAAACAGCATCAGCAATTTACCATTCACTGACAGGCTGGGTGGTGCACATGAAGTGGTGACAGATCCCAGAGCTGTGTGCAGTGCAAGGCTGCTCACCTCACAAAGCCCTGTCTCACAGCACTGTGCACGGCTCTGAAGCAGTTTAAGGTATTCAGCTCAACACTAAGCTCCCTTGGGATCTTCCTCTGCCTTCACTCGACTCAGTTCACTGTTAAGAATATTTCAGGGGATGCAGTCACCCTCATGCTGAGTTACCTTAGTACAGGCAAATTGATACAACTCAAAACGACCTCACTTAATGTGGATGTTCACCTGGCAGTGCTTTAACTCAATGCAGGGGAAGCATTAGGGTCCTGTCTATGTAGAGCTGAAAGCTGGGGCTCATTTCCTGTGACAAGCAGACAAAACTCTCCCATTGCACAGCTGCTTCCATGAATGTCCATGCCGTTACCTGCTCGCTCATGCTGTTGATCCCATCCGGCCCCAGCAGGGATATGGCCTGCTTAACCAGATCCGTCCGGCCGCAGTTGAGCATCCGGAAACCCAGGTCTTGCTTGAACTTGGCCTCGGTGGCAACTGCATCCAGCTTCCGAGAGGCACAGAAACAGTCGTCGATCCTGCAGGGCGAGAAACCAGCTCCCTCAGAGGACAGGCAGAGGACAGACCTCCCGAGGAAAATAATACTGTGCCCTGGTTTTGAAGGATTTAGGTCATGCACGCATCCATTCTCCTTTGACCTGCATGTGCAAGGAAATTGCTGAATGGGAAATGACAATGCAAGCTAATGGGAGACTGCCCTTGGTCTACCTTTCATGGGACAAGTTATAAATTTCAATAAAAACTGGTGGGAAAAAGTGCAGCTTTCACTTGATTTTGTTTCCCTGTTTAGGCAATGCACAATCCATTCTCACCACAAGTTTTGTCTCTGCATGGCAAGGTTATCCAATTCCCCTGATCCCTGAAAACTTCCAGTGACTTCAGTAAGCTTTGAACTTACATCAAATGGATGTATAATCGTTGACAATAGACCAAAGAGAAAATAATGTCACTCCAAACACCTTCAAGGATCTTACCAGCATAGTCCCAGTAAATGGGAAGCTTTTCTGGAGCACAAAGTGCAAGTCACAGAATCACAGGCTGGCTGAGGTTGAGCAGAACCTCTGGTCCATGTGATGCAAACAGGGCCACATATGCCTAAGTCCCCCATGGACTTGCCAGGCAGTCATGGCAAAACAGAAATCCTTTCTGGCTGTGTCTAACAGACGAGATGTCATTCTTTTAAGGTTTTATTCCAAAGGTCTTCAAACTGTGAACTGATATTCATTTCAAATGAAAGAAAGGCTAGGAGTTATTTAGCCAAGATGTGAATCTACAGCTCCAGAGAGAGCCAGGCAATTCAAATCTAATGTTTATCCAAGTTGGTTTCATCTTGCTAAAAGATAGATTTGCTTTTCTTTCATGCTGAGGAGTGTCTGGGGCAGAGGGTGAAGTCCAAATACACAGCGCTTTTGGTGTGAACTTGGATAAAGGACTCTTTGGAAAAACACCGCTTTAAATCTGCAAAAATGCTAGGTCAGAAAATGATGGGCTACTATTGAAGGAAAAACAAAATAGAGATCAAAAGTGAAAAAGTCAAGCATACATCAAATATTTGTTTTTCTATTTCATATGTAAAAAAACCCCAGCAAATCAAAAGAGAAACAGAAACAGCACATCACTATCATTTAAATTTCTTCTTCAAAGTGCTTTATCAGACCTTTATAAAATATATAACACTGCTTAATATTTAACAGCACTATGCAACAAATACACTGTTTATATAGAAGCAGTGGCATGCAGCAATAGCTGCTGCTCTTCCTCTTTCAAGAGAGGAAGGAAAGTGAAATGCAAAATACAAAGTGTTTTGATCAAAGCTCCTACAGGTCTGAAACCAGTATCTGATGTCAGACTTGCTCTCTGCTGTTCTGGGCCACAACCAGTCTGGAGGACACCAGGTGTTTTGTTGATGCTCATTCGACTGCTCAGTTTGGGTTTTGACTGATAAAAAAATTCATGTCCTAAGAATGCAAAAAAGGTGTGCTTGGAATATCACCACTCGGGGAACAAGGATGACATTCCGTCACCACAGGATGCTGCAAGATTAATGCACAACACTCAGTCACAATAAACACACTGCAACAGCTATAACAGATTCTGCACCAGCAACGTGCCCACAGCAGAGAGAGAGAAAGCAACACACAGCAAGGCTGGGTTTTCTGCAGTACTTTCTGACTGAGTTTAAGTAAAAAGCAAAACCAGCACAGACATATGCAGGGCTGAGCTCACTGACACTGAGATCCATGGGAGCAATCGAGGCTAAATGCATTCACACCACATGGCACATTTCTAACACAAGAGCTACAGCAACATTTGGTGCTTGCTGTCCCCATAGCATGAGATGCTGGAGATCATCTGTGCCCTCCTTTATGGCATGGCAAAGATAAAGCATGCTCAGAAGTTAGGTGGTGGGGGTTTTGGTGCATGGAGGAGAGACCTCCCAGCTGCAGATGGCATTCCCAGATGATTTTGGGCTGGAAACAAGGTGGTTCCTCAGCAAAGTGCAGCTATGGAAAGATTGGACATCCTCTGCAGAGGTGTCTGCTGCTGTGAATCACTGCCTGTGTTAATTCACTGCTTCATCATTTGTACTGAGGTATGTAACATACACTGAATAAAATGGGTCAGACTCCAACAGAGCTCCACTGATGTCAGCCCAGCTCAGTGCGTGAAAATGATAGCTGATCATCTCCTCTTCAAAAAAAAAGCCAAACTTTGACCTGGGTTGCACACCCACAGAAAGGAGGAAAGAGGACAAGGACCTGTCTCACCTAGCCTGTATGGGCTCCCCAGATCTCTACTCTGGCATGTCTTCAAAAATCATCAGGAACTCCTCCATGAACTGGCTCTGGTCTCCTGAAAGTGAGTCAGTTCACCTGCTTACTATAGTCGAGGAAGGAGAGCCATAAATTCTTGTTGATATTTAGTATCAGCAAATCAGTACTCCTCAATCAGCTGGGGGGATAAGAGTCTTGCTCCAAGGGCTGCAGGGTGCTACAGCTGTAAAAACAACGCAACAAGAACGTGGATGAAGAGGAATGCCTGGGCAGCACAGCAGGTAGCACACCAGCGCTGACGAACTCTGAGCTAGACCAAGTTCCACAAAGCAAGAAACCACAACTTAGTACCAGGGGCCCACTGCCTTTTTTATACCCCAAACAGGACCACTGTGAGTATTGCCATATGTTGACTAATAAACTGCATAGTGATCAAACTGGTGAGTTTATTAGAACAGAAGCATGACACAAAGGAAAGGAGCAGAGCATGAGAACAGAAAGCAACTTCTCGAAAAGCCAGAGAGATTAATGAGTTAAGGAAAAAGAGATTTAACATGTACTGATAAAAAGCAGTGAAGAGACATCAAAAAATGATCAGGAGCTACAAGTACAAATAGAAAAGCACAGCATCACTTTCAACACTGGAGAAGGCCAGCTGGGAGGATTGCACAGCAGACAGACCGAGATGTCGCATTTAAAAATGAAAAGTGGAAAAGTAAAAAAAACCCCAAACCCATCAAAAATCAAACCTAAGCCAACACAGCACTGCATTTTCTCCCAAGTTCTCCTTCTTACCATTCACTGCATAATATTGATTCCAAAAAGAAGCAGAGGGTGTCTGCTCCATATTACACTGTGTAAGGGGACACTGCTCCATCGTGGACACCATCCAGAACCACAAGCATTAAAGAATGCAAGATAAAAAAAGAGGAAGTGAATATACTCCCAGGTTTGACTCACTTGAGACTCTTTCATTTTGGACTGAAGCAAACATACTGACAAGCTCTGAAGAGGTGGGAAAGGGATGGGAAAAAGCTTGAAATACAAGGCTGACGGGGAACAAGTAAAGTCAGCTACATATACAGGGTCACTTTTTAGAGTTGTGAAACTGTGCCTGCTAAGCAAGGGAACAGAGCATATGTGCATGCAGAGCTGGAGCCCTCCCCAGCTGCACTGTCAGCATGGGGCCCTTTTGCCAAAAAGTCTTTGTGATCTTTCCAAGTGCATAGGAGGCTGACACCAGCCCAACGGCAGGATGTCCCCTCCAAGGCTACCATGGTTTGTTGCCAGAGTCTGCCAGCCATCAGCATTCACACAGGTCATCCTTTCCCCAAGACCTCACCCTGCAGAAAAGGTGCATTTTCATCAAAGGGGCTGGGAAGGCTGATGGGAGGAACAATGCCCAATGGATCATGCAGGGACAATGCTCTTCTGCTCCTCTTCTACCTAGGGACAGTCTCAGGATGGTAGGACATCACCACACCAGTTGCTGACTGGGTCAGGCAAACTTTGAGGTCTCCCAGAGATGATACAGTGACAAAAGTAGGACTGACCAACATCCTCTGAGACTGATAACCCCTCTCTACAGACACAGTCCATTCTGAACTTCCCTATTTAGCACCTATGGGGCTGGGCAGGCTGCTTGGCACCACCACCATCACCACTGCATAATGCTCTCATTCCCAGAATTGAGAAATTATATGTTTGAATTAATAATACACACTTATCATAGGCCTTGTGCTCAACAGCAAATTCACTCCTCCAATTCTGGGGTTCAATCACAGAGCCTGTCAACTCCCTTCCCTTCCCTAGTGTGAAGCAAGCCAACAATTGCCTTTAAAAATAAAGGAAAATAAGAAACAAATGAAATTATTGCAATTTTACATTTGCAGTAAAATTGTGACCATATTTTTTAATTCACAATACAATACAATTTTATCCAAGTCCTCTTTTAATTCCTGACAGATACTGCCTCTACAGCTGTTATCTTCAAGATCATTACAGTGTTGCCACTGCACATAATTAAATGGACTGTGGCTTTATATGGGGAGTGCCATGGTAACATGAATTATTTGCAAATGGTCACTGTCAAACACTGCAGGGTGACCATAACACTCCATCATACTCTGAAGTACTCAAACATCTGAAAGGAGTCAAAGATAATCTTCTTCATTTGTAATGAGTCCTAGCAGTACAGCAAATTATTTTTCTTTTCCCAAACTCACATTACAAAAACATAATATAGCGCTTCTACAGCAGTGCTTTAAACACAAGGGATGTTGGTTTTTTTCATTTTCACTCCAACTGGCTAAGAGGGAGTCTGTGCAGATCTTTAATAAGTTACTCATGGGTTGAATACGTTTGGGAAAATGGATGATTCAAAGGCAAAGTGTTTCCATCGTAACTGGTAGACGCAGTTGGTTCAAAAGAGATGGAGTGCAGTCTGTGACGAGCAGCAGGACAAACGCTCTCCATGGCTCAGATGAGCAGATCACTACAGTGACAGCCAAGCACCAGAACCTTGTTTGCTCACCTGGGACTCCATCACCAGCCCTTTCAACTCAAAGAGTGATAATCTATTAATAAGGCCCATCTCTCTAGCTTTGTAGAATTCATCCAGTTTGTCCTAAATATAAATGAGGTCTTGAGTCAGAAATTATAGTTCAGCTGGTTGGAAGCCTGGAAGGAGTTGTCTTTCAGGCAGCAATATGAATTGCAATGCTGAATTTCTTGGTGTCATGGAT